AAAACCAAAACAACTGTGATTTAAAAGAAATCAACTAATCAACTAAATATTTTAAATTAAAAATGATGCAAACTAATTTTTGTTATTTGAAAAAAATTATAAAGTAGGACTAACCAATGTTAAAATTAATATAGCCACAAAATAATTATATAGTTGGAAAAACTATCTGATATTTGAATCAATTATAAAAATTAGTTAAATAATAAATAACCATAGATACAGAATATATTTTCCATGTGGACAACAGCAGAAACGTTTATTTATTTCGTGAACCTAGTAGTTTTTTTAAAAGTATTATTTTATAGCTAAATTGTATTTTTTTAATTTAATAATAATTCTTGTAATTATGAAACATACTTTTATGATATTCTTTATTTTTCATTTTCCAGAAAGCAAATTAAAAGTAGACCTTAGATTTTAAAATCTTTGGAAATATTATTTATCAATAAATTCTTCAACTGTAAATATTATCATTTTCGAAAGGTATATTAAAAGAAAATATATATTTTGAAATATAATAGATAAAAGTAATGTTTATAATGTTTCAGCTAAAGAAGTCTTTATATACAACAACCTCATATAACCTCAAAAAATATTACCACATTGTGAATAATCAAATAATATTATAATGATTATATATTCTTGATTTCTTGAAACAGTTTGTCTGAACTATAACATAAAATGTTCAATAAAAATTGAAATTGATATAACGACTCAATTCTAATTTTTTTTATAAAAATCACGTTGTAATGAAATTTCAAATCCAATTTTTTTTATAGAAACAATAAAATTCATCAATCAGTAGGAAATAAATATTTTGGAATCGTATTTTTTGGTAAGCTTAAAATTAAAGAATTAAGATATATTTTTGTATTTGAATATTATATTTAAATTTTTTTTGTAAAGTACTTTAATTTAAAATAAATATTCTTTTAAATAGTATTGAATATTTTTAATTTTATGAATATTGTAACAATATTTTTTATTAATTAATAATTATTTTGGGATGAGGGGGATAAAATAATTTTGAAAGTGTGATAAATGCTATTCTCAATTTGTGACAATTAATTACTTTTAATTACTAGTAAAGATAAGATTATAAATAAATATATAAATATATGAGATAAGCACGATATTCTTTAAATACGCTAATTTTTCTACTCTATTAATTTAAATTATTTTAAATAGTTATTATAATTATTTTTATCTCGATGCATAACTGATTAATTCTTAGTTTTACTACGTTGTTATTATTATTTTTACACTTTTTTTAGATTCGATGCGAAGCTGAAAAGGTATTTATTTGACTATTATATGTTTTTTTTTTTTATTATAAATTTATAATTTTTACGAAAGATTAACACATTAAACCAGATTGATTAATTTTGTATGATACCTTTCAGACTGAGATAAAAGGGTAAAGGGTTGACACCTCAGAATCAATTTCCAATTAACCAATTTAAATTAACGGTAAATAAGAAATTATGGTCATTTTGTGCTCATTATTTTATTATAAGCACAAAATATGTAAATTAAAATCAGGACTGTGTTCATGGCATAACAGAGGGTATAAAAATATTTTTTTTCTTCTCTTTGGAATCGTCCTAAAGACAATACGTTGTAGTAAAACCTCAATAATCTAAAGAGAGGGTAAAAACTTGAACTTGATAATGAACATTTTGCTAACTTGTTTCGCTATACTCACATTTTGCTGTTTAGTTGTCTGAGTGAATCGATCAGTAGTGCAGTTTCTTCTGAAACACGCGAAATACGGAAATAAAAATCTCTGGTAAGTAATAGCTAGGATATTTTAATAGATCCATAGAAAATCACTGTGGTTATTTAACTTGATTTATTTTTGCCATTAAACTAAAATAGTGTACAATTAATAAACACAAATAGTTGTTTATTATTAATTAATATTTGATACCTTAATGCAGACAGAATACAATCATGTCATATCATAATAAAAACTAAGATTCTACTTCTATAAATATAATATTAATTTATAAAAACGTTGTAAAAACTATTTAAAATTTTTTTTTTTCAATAATCAAATATTTATTAATAAAATTACAAACGATTGTTTATATATCTTTAAATTATTAAAGAAATATTTTTTCCCTATTTATACTAAAGCTTTCATTACATTAAAAAAGATTTTTTTTTATTATTAACGTTAGAAAAATTGTTACTCGTGTTTTAAGAACATAAACGTAAATAAATAATTGCTTTAGCAATGCACATTATATTTTTTTGTAGTTTAAGTAAAATATTTTTGTATGATATGACATTTTGATTATAATATGTTTTTTAAATTATACAATCGATTTTTTATGTACTGCATATTTGGAATTTTCAATCGTAAATTATAGTTTTTTATTTCGAATTTTAAATATTATAAGGAAAAATAACAGTACATAATACATAATGCATAATGCTATTGCCAAAGACTTAATACATTTTTTTTTGAACCTTTTTAGCGCGCATAATACATATTCTGATATTTTAATTTGAAGACAGGTTTTTAAACACATTAGTTTTTCTATAGTTTAATTTCTATAGTATTAGATTTTAAATAAAACGAACATTGAATAAAGGCAGTAGAGACTTTTATTGATCATACTGTTTATACTGCAGGCAACAAAATTAAAATGTTTTTAATCTTAATAGTTTTTATTTCGACAACTTCTTTTTTAAAATATCTTTAAAACTCAACGGATATGTTTCCATACGAATTAAATTTGCATAGAAGGGAATATTTTTAAAACCGGATTTCTGCACATGGAAATTATAGAAGAAAATTTGATGAACTTACATTGATATCAAGTGATCTAATCGATTTTCTGAATCTTGAATTCTTTAATTTTTTTTAAGTTGCCATTCATTATTTTTAACTGCTACTATTCAGTGTATTATATACAATGATATGTTAAAACACACCATAGTCCATATTGATCAAGATTAATGTTCTATGTATGTACATTTCTAGATACATTTACATTGTTTAAAGAGATGGTGTCCCGTTTAGCGTTAGTTCTATTGTTTTTGATAAGTGCCAATGCATTACTGACTGTACCATTAAACGTAGTACCGTCTTTACCAAACGTTATTTTAAATTCAATCAATCCACAATGTCAACAGGACAGTATAAGACTGCAAGAAAATCTAAAAAACATGACTCTATGGGCCCAACAAAGTGAGTACAATTTATTATGAGTAAGCAGACAAACCATACGTTCATTTTTTCCAAACCTAATATTTTTTTTTATACATATACAATTAATAAATACATAAGTATATTAATTAATACATATATATACAAATAAAACCTGAATGGGATTGACACTTCTAGCGAAGTGGTCCCTAATATAGTCTAGTAATAATAAAATACTATTTGAATTGTGAGATAATTATTTATAAATTTAAATCAAATTATATAAATTTGAATCAAATGGGTTGACCCATTTTAGGCGTCTTAGGTCATTGGAATTGTCCAATAATTGAAATGCCGCTGGGTTTTCTATTGTTCCAACCTCTTTATATGCCTACGTGCAAACTGAGTGACTTCATCCGCTAAGGTTGGCAACATCATATCACGATGAATTACATAATTTCTATTGTATCGGTAGACCGCGATGATCGTACGAAGTGCTTCATGTGTTGGACTTACAACCTCACAATTGAATCGGTAAGTCCAGACGGGTTTCATGATCGCTACGTACAACAGATGATTGTCCTCTAGTGATAGTTCAGAACGTTTTCCAGTCAACCAATAGAGTTTGCGCAGTTTATCTGCAGTTTTTACATGATATTTCCAGTTAGGGGGCGGCAGTCAAAGTGCAGATAATTAGCTGAAGCATTTTGTGGGAGTATTTGTTGAAATGTCGCAGGTTTTACGTAAAAAAACCTAATGTGAAACACATAATATATATTTTTCCCGTATACGTTTATTAAATAACGTTATGCAACATTTTGTTTGTAATTCAATGAATTTGTTATTTGTTGCTGCAAATTTTATTATATGTTTAATATTTCCCCATTTTAATCGTTTTTTACGGTATTTTTATCTTTCCTTCGACTAACGACCAAAGCAAAGAGTTAGATATGAAAATTGAATTCGCAGTTAAACATTCTAACAGTAAACTTTTTTTATTACAAGGAGAATAATTTAAATTGTATTATTTTCAATAAATTAACATAGTGACCACTAAGTTTCAAATTTATTTTTAATATATTTAACATATAACAAAATTTTATTATTTATTTTAAGAAATAAAATAGTAGATTTAAACACGAATGACCTTGAACTACTAGATTATTGCTATAATGTTAGAATGTAAAACCAGTTCAACGACCAATATTCATTGCAACTTTCTTCGAAAGGTCAAAAACTACAGTTTATTTCAAAATATTATGACTAGCGTCCAGTTTTTCTTGTTTAATATACTTCCTTAAAATAATTTTAACATTATTAATTACAATAAAGTATTAACACATGTTGTTATTATCCACTCATTCATAAATAATTTTTATGAATGAAAATAAAAAAGAAATTATTAAAATTAAAATTATCTTTCTTCGTTCTCTAGTTTTTATAGTTACTTTATAATAGCTACGCGACCACCTAACTAGCTCAGTTGGTAACACATAGTACTTAGGTGCGAAGGGTTTGATTCCATTACGCTGTGTAAATTTGCTTGTCCTTTCTGGCACAATAAATAGCTTTAACCTAGGACAATAAATGTAAATTAATAAAATAATACATTTGTGTAATTTAGTAAAAATAAATGAATTACATGAATTTATTGAATTAAACAAAAATGTAAAAACCCTGCAACATTTTAATACATAAAACCAAAAAAAGATAATGTTTTCATGCAAATATTATGCTCAAAAGTTGAACTTCTACTATGGTCATATTTCTCTAAATATACCTTTTAAGTTCATAATAAAACAAGTGATATTTATTTGCTAATAATATAATGTACGTTTTTTAGTGTGGGATGCATCAGCAAAACAAGCGATCGGCTTATTGTCGGGCAATAGATATCAATTGGGAGACTTTGACGAATGCTTACAAGTAGTCAGGCCTATTAAAGCTCAATATTGTTTGATAGATATTAAAATTAATGTTCCTCGAGAATATTCTCTAACGGATCCTTATACTAGAGATTATAATCCAATGCTTCCAGCGTGGCATAAATTGCACGTGAGTATATTGTATAAAAATTAATTAAAAATTTTTTCATAATAAATATGACACACTCAGACATTGAATTTTTAAATTTTTTCCTGTTTACTATTAGTCTCAAATATTTTAGATAGAAGTCTAAGATAGTGTTTTACTATAGATCATTGTAAACAAATTTTACTGAAAAGTTCAAAATTCAAAATAGAGGAGTATAATAAATCACGATTTTCTTTTTAAACATACAGTTTATTTCTTTATACGGTATAATACTAAAAATCTTTAAATTCATTTTACCTCCATGTAAAATTTAGTATTTTATAGAAATATTGACCAATTTTAATAAGGAAAAACTTATATATTTTAATATATGCCAATTATATATAGTCAATAGTTTCTCAAAATTAGACCATAGTACTGCCGGACTATTGGAAGTCGCGTAAAATTATATAATATACATATTATGTATATTTTTTAAGACGTGTTAAGAATCAATACCACCCTACAACAAATATGTATTCTTACTTTTTTTTTTTATCCCCAATAGATCTATGTATATTAACTAAAAATATTGTATGAAATAGACAAATTTATTTTGCTATCAAGAGCAAACGCTCCATTTGCATTAACTGATAATAGATGACCTATACGTGATTTTCACCTACAAAACATTTAAAACTATACGTAGCTCATAAATGTACATCATATTGATGTTAATTGAATAAAAATAAAAATAAAAATCGTATAGGTGTGTCTAAATTTAATCAATAAACTTTATCGTACCGATAGTGCTTACATCGTTATTACAATGAAAAATGAAGTCAAAATTTTCTATTGTGGATTTTTAAGAGTCTACTATATAAATAACTTAAAATGTATATAATTACAAATTCGTGGAATACTTTTTTTTTCTGATCCCTTAACTTTTATTTTTATTTTTAGAAACTATCCGGCTCGTCTTAAAAATTTATTTTTGATCCCTGGTACAGACTATATATATTAACTAAAACTTTAAACTTTCTTTATATAGAGATTACTTTTATCCACTTCATAAACTACCTTTACTTGTTATTGTAGACGAATTCATCATTTAGTTTATAACAATATGTATGTTTGCATAAAAATACATCAGTATTGATGTCGCAGTAATTCATGAAAATTTAATTTTTACATATTATAGTATGGTGGAGCAAGGTTTAAGCAGCGATTAGATATGATCAAATGGGCTTTATGTGTACCAAAATCATGCTCCCCCCTTGAAATTCAAACATACCTCCAATCATATATAAAAGAAAATAACATTAATTCCATTGAAAAAGTATCAGTAAATGATAAAATGTGCACCCAAGCTGAAAGACCAGGAGATAACTACGACAATTACGACATGGCTTTTGTGTAAGTTTGATTTATTAAATTAAGCTGTACAAAAGTTTTCTATTAACCCTTTCATTCCTTTTGTCCATTACAATAAACCTAGGAAAAATATATATTTCTCATATTGTTAGTAACACAATAGACTTAGAACAGCGGTAATCAACACTAAAATACAGCTCTAGTAATAGAACTAAACTGATAAAAGTCGTTAAATTTTAATATCTTATAAACAAATAAAAATTGAAAAACATTTTCATTGCTAATTTTTTATATTGGCAAAATTTCAAATGAGAATTCTCTTAACATTTTTTTTCTAGGTTCATCTGATCATAATTCAGGAATGAAAAGGTTATAATTTCATAAATTATAATTACTCATGTTATATTATTATTGTAAATTTATTCATTCTTCTGAAGATTTACTATTTTTATTCCTGTATTGTTTTAAATAAGGATTATTTTTTTATTAATAACTATCATAAATGTTTTTAGAAAATTTAATAAGATTTAGATAAAATAACAAAACAAAAGTCGACTTGACAAAGATATTTTAACTTTAGAAAAAACAATTAAAATACATAAAGTGAATTTAGAAATGTAATATTATTTTTTTTAGGTTATAGAATAGTTAAAAAAAAAAACTTACGAAAATATTTTTGTTCCTTATGATCTGTTAATCTTCCTTAATGATGAAGGGCATAGTGTAAAACTTGAAATTGTACGTAGTAATAGTTCTAGTTTTTGCTTACTTAAGTCAACGGTTGCTTGTTATTATAAATGTAGTATTAAAATTATACTAACTTCCTGTTCGATATCTATTTTTATAAACTTGTTTCATTCCACAAAGAAAAATCAACATGTTAGCGGAAGTAAAAATTAAGTCTTAAATTGGTAAAAATGCTATAAAGGTTCAAAATTTTATGACTTAATATTTATTTCTATACGTCCAGGACATGATTTTTTCTAAAGCATATATGTATACGCAATATATTATGTTTTTTATAATTTTTCTTGTCTATATAGCAATCAATTAGTTACTTAGACGAAGTTACAAAGTAGGTTAAATATAAAGCTAAACTTATTTTTTAATTACTTTACTTTCTATTAAATTTTACACTAAAAAACAAATATATTACATTATGTATTAAATTTATTTAAACGTCACAGGTTACTGATTTTAGTACTACTATCACTAGTTATGTTTTCAACGGTATATGATTTTACGGTACACTCAAAACAACAAACTTGGCAGTGGAATCAAGGTAATTTATATTTACTAATCAGTGGCGCAAATAGGGAGAAATTCTGCTAGATAATACTTAAAGATTCTCTAGATTTAAGCAACCCCGAGAAATTTCAAATAACAATGTCATAATTTAAGATAAGTAGAGTAACATTATCAGTGAATGAACAATCATCACCGAGTTTTTAAATAAGACTTTGTCTAATATGATTGTAACAAGTTGTTGTTAGTAGTTTTTATAGCAAAGAACATATATAAATTAAGTCCTACTGAAATGTCACAATTGTAGATATAATTTTATAAACTGTTCATTCACTAGAAAATTCCAATTTTCAACATAAAATAATAAATTAAAATTTTTGTGTTAGTTAATTATAAATATTTTACATTATTATTACAAAGAATTTTCCAGACAACAAACTTTTATAACATTGTAAATAAAACTTTAATACATGAAATATTCTTAACAGTTCATTCACTGTTGAAATAATGCTAATAAAAAAAAATCTCTTGAGTTAATAGGTCACCTCTAATGATATTCAACATGACATACAGTCATGTTGCGCCATTGTCACTAATAATAAAACTAAATTATGTATTTATTTCATTAATTTTTAATTGCAATTTTCAAAGTTGTGAAAAATGTTTGTTTGCATAAACTTATATTACCTTTTAGAAAGTCGTCGTGTTGATTTACTTATGTGTTTTTCCGGAAGACGAGCAATGCAAAGCTTACAGCAGAGAACTTGTATAATAAGAGATATAGATCTAACACCTCTTTGTGGTATTTCAACCATTTCTATGGTATTAATTATTATTGGTCATAGATGGGGTTTTCGATTACCTGGACCTTTGCAAAATTATGAAATCAATGAACAAGTTATTCTTTGTCTTTTATTAGTTCTCCTCGTGCTTAAAATTAAACAAAAACCATAATATTTTTATCTTGTATTACAGGTTTTTTATAATTATTTCATATCAATTTTTACATCACACATGGATTTATTAGTGGATACCTTTTTTGCCATTAGTGGAACATTGGCGATTTTGATTCTCCTTGATCGCCTCGACACTTCATTTGTACATCCTTTTAAAGTATTAGTTTTTAAATACTTCAGGTAATATACAAAAGTGTACAGAATGTGTACAAAAAAGTGTTTAGATTGTGCACTATCGGATAATCTATAATAATTTTAGGTTAACGCCAGTGTACGCTGTAGTTATATTTTTTTTTGCAACTCTCCAATATAAAATGGACTCTGGTCCTCTATGGGAAAATTTCATTGGGACAGACAAGGATAATTGCCGTAAAGTATGGTGGCTTAATCTCTTGTATTTGAACAACTATATCGGAGTAGATACAACTGTAATTACATAAAATCATCTATAACTATATAAATTTATTTATTATATATTCGTAATTAGGTATTGATTAGTTGTTGTTTTTTAGTGTGGCTTTCATACATGGTTCATGCCTTGCGAATTCCATTTTACAATCGTAGGAGTTATGTTGGCTTTCATCCTTCATAAAAGTCCGAAATTTGGTATTTGTCTCACGTCCTTTATTATGGCATTATCAATAGCTGTGCCTTTCACTCTAACTTATATTGGCCAGAAACCAGCAAACATAGAATTTAACATGGAGTAAGTATATATTAACTTCATTGTCAATCATTTCTTTTTCGTATTCATTCATTGTTTTCACACATTTAATTTTTATATATATATTCATAATGAACCGTTTATCATAATCTACTCAATTACTTACAAAATAAAAATAATTTTAAGAATATTTTTTTTCAATTACATAGACATTCTTGATTTATTAATCATTAAGTATTTTTTAGGTTCATCCGTTATACCTCATAAGAGTGTATAATTTTTTTCATATTAGTATAAATATTAATGTTCTCATTAAAATTAAGAAAAACTTTATTTTACATTGAAACATATTGTAACAATATTTTATTAAAATACTGCAAATATTCATGTTATTTGATGATGACTAAAATACCTTACATTTTAATGCTATATTTTTTACTTGTAGTTTTACAACAAATCCTATGAACAATGATTACTTTATGTCAATTTATATTAAATCGCATACAAGAGCTGGCCCATATATCGTAGGTGCTATATTTGGTTATTTGTTATATAAAAGAAAAAAAAGTTCACCTAAATTAACAGCGGTAAAAAATACTTTTTTATCGAGATTTGAAAACAATATATATTATATTTTTAACATTACTATAATGAAATTCCAGGGAAACAGTTGGTTGTTATTAAGTATATCATCATTAACAATGATGACTTCTTGGTTTAGTGGTGCTATAATTTACCACCCTTCTTATGTTTACGATCCCCTGCAAGCTGCTCTCTATGGATCAACTGTCCGAAGCCTTTGGGCTATGGGATTAGTTACTGCTCTTTATGCCTTAATATTAGGACCACCAAGTAAGTGATACATTATGATTTAAAATTAATATTTATTGGCGTATAGTTTTGTTAAGTTAAATTATTATAATTTTTTTAACAAGATCGTTCAAACACAATTTCATATTTTATACAGATTTTTTGAAAAATACGTTATCATGGAAACCATTTGCTGTACTAGCGCACTTGAACTTCAATGCTTACATGGTGAACACAATACTACCTGTAGCTGATACTGCAAGTAGAAGAACACCTGATCACTTTAATATCAGAAGTTTTGTAAGTATACTTGCTTTTAAGCTTCCGTAATTTATCAATAAACTTCAATTGTTGGTCAGTTTGTTTGTCTGTAAGTCTATCTAGATTTTTCAGCTATCCAATACTGGAATATTTGCGCTCTTATAAATATGTACATTAAAAGTTAATTAACTTATCTTTCAAAATAGAAATTCTTACAGAAGAAGAGATGAGAATATTTTATGTGTAATGAAATCAAAATATTTATTTATTTATTATATCAATTAATATATATTGCATCAATTTTTTCTTTCAATGACTAATAGTTATGATTATTTTAATATTAATATACTTCTTCTTCATCGCCTTAATCCCAACTACTTGGGATCGGCCAATATAATATTTATTATACCTACATAATAATTTTAATTTTGGATTAAATCGTAGTTAAAATATAATTTAAAATTTCCAGAATGACTTGTATTGTAAAAAATATAAAATTGAGTTAGAAGTATTTTAAAAATAATAATTTACTTTACAAGATGACTCATCTAGATCAGTCAGTAACTCGCCGAGTCTCGGTACGTAGGTACCGAATTTAGATTTCGTGTTGTGGGCTATGTAAGTTCTATGTCCTCTCTGACTCAATAGAGATCTTTTGTAAACTTTTATTACTTTTAATTTTCTTATGTCAGATAAAATCATTAAACTGTTTTTTTCTATAGACTGTTGCATTAGTATTTTTATGTTTTTTCTTTTATTCATTTCAGATATCTAATTCTATATCAGATACAATAATGTGCTTAATAGCTGGTTTGTTCCTTTATGTATTTGTAGAAAGACCATTCAGGCTTTTAATTACTCAATTATTTTCTTCAAAACCAAGAAAAATTCAAAAACGGCAAGTATTGAAAATATAATAATATTATCTTATAAAAAGCCTAGTTCAGACGTTAAATTGGTTAATATATCGATAAGTTTCAATTGTAGGGCTGGTTTATTCTAAGGTACTGTTAAGTACAATGGTATATCATATACCTTTTTTATTAATAATTATAATATTAAACACCGTTTAAGTTAACTCGGAATAATCCATCTGGATCTATAATGCCTATGTACCAGACGATATTGCGTCGATTACCTATGCATTTTAATAAATAATAATATTCAAAGTTATTGAACAACATGGTTATTTATAAGATATAAAAATTATTTAGATAGTCATGTAGCATAAGTGGACTTAAAATATCTTTGTAGTTAAAATACTGTAAAAGATTTGAAAATTTTATATAATGGTTACTTTGTAAAGTTATAAGACTTCTGAGTAGATTCATATACTCGATATTTTAATACTTCAATGCCTACTCTTCACTTCGTACGCCAAAATATTCTGTTTTGAAAAACGGGACTACATCTCTTATAATGTAAAAATCTTATCACAAATTTGCCTTAGATTGTAAAAATTGGCGAAATTTAAGCAAAATATTTTTTTTGGAAACATTTAAACAATATTTATTTTTAATCAAACAATTTATTTATAAAATTTTGTATACTTATAGTTCAGATTTAAGGTATTTTTTCAATTATCATTATAAAAACTCAGAATTTAATTTAAAAATTAAGAGGTTCTAAAGCATATTCTAATATCTATCGAAAAAACACCTTTAAATTAAAAATGATTTTTTTATTATGATCAATGTTTTAAAATTTTTAGGTTGATTTAAAAACTCGAGAAACCGTAAAAATAAATACATTTTATAAACCATAAAAATACATACAATTCTGAATCCATAAAAATGCATATATTATATGAATCTATAGAAATGAAACTATTTAAAAAAACTATAGAAATGCATACATTTTATGAAGCCATAGAAATGAAACTATTTAAAAAAAAACATAGAAATGCATAGATTTTATGAAAAACTTATTATTATCAAGTATCCATCAAATGCGCTAATAAAAACATGTTTTATATTGTGTATTTTATAACTTTGTGAAATCCTGTAAGTTGCTTAATCATGGCTTAATTAATTTAAGGTTTTACTAAAAACATTGATTGTGTTATCATATAACACTATGTAAAGCGCTTAAACTTATATTATTTCGTTTAAATATTATATTACTGTTCTTAGATTTTGCAAAGATAACTTTTTTCTATTTATAATTCAAGTCACATAAGTGTTTAACGTACAATTATCATAATATCATAACATCAAATGAAACTCAATTTTAAAGATACGTGCATCTGAAGTATTCACTGTGTCACCCTACGATTTTTTATTATTATTTTTATAAATTGCATTGCAAATACTTTAAAATTAAAATATAATAATTCTATACATTATTTTACAGAGAATGTGACTTAAAAGGATCTGAATTAGTATACGAGTACAACAAAGTATGAATAGAAGTAGTAAATATGATTATAAAGACTTATTTACAAGTTTAATTTATTTATTTAATCTTTTCATTTTTATTATACTATTTGTTTAGTTATAATACACTTTGTATTATTTATACTTCGTCCATATTGGGCATTTCTTGTAAATCTATTATAAAATAAATAAAATAATTTGATTTTTATAGATATCTTTGCAATTTTATAGATCTTTTATTTTTAAATCACTCCTTAAAAGCAATATAAAAACTACTGTATATTTGAATCGATAATTGCCAAACGTATTAAATATTCTTTTTCAAGGGTTGGATAATAAACAATATTTTTTGTTTAACGTTACTTGATATTTAAACGTTATACAATTTTTATATTTAACGTTTGTAATATTGAAGTGACACGAAATTTTTTTTTCAATAAATGTTTTTACATTTAACGTAAAAATAATTCAAAACATAATTAGTAGTTTTTAATATAGACAAATGTTACTTTTTATTACGTAGAAATTTTTTAATATAACGTTTGAAAATAACTTATTTTTCTTTTAATAAGAATTGTTTTAGGTTATTAATTGTGTTATATTTAACAATATATTACGTTTATTAAATATCTTTGTTTTTATGATTTAATTTTTGGATTAATTTTTTACAATATTTTTTGTTTTAAACGTTATAATTATAACAATATTCATAACGTTCACTTTTCCTGTTATTTTTTACACATTATGATAAATTGTTGTTCATTCTTATTGTGATTTGTCTTTATATCAATATATCTATATTGTATTAAACACGAAAATTCATTTGATTTGATAACGCTATTTATTTTGGTTTCTTTTTAAATCTCAAGTATGTTTTAAAAATTGTAATTTTATATAAATTTAAAAAATGCAGTCTTTATCAAACATTTTTAAAAATTAATTTTTATATATAGCACTTTTTGGAAGATTTTTTAGTTTGGAGGCCAAATTCTCATAGATGACTAATCATGGAAATGTATTTTTTTAATTATAAAGTTGATTACATAAGCTTTATTCAATGTAAATTAAAGACATCTCTATATCCTGAACATTTTCAAAAATTAAATTGAAAAAAAAAATGATATACAACTTAATCTTTTTTACTTTTAAAATTGTTTAGTTAATCATTGGATTTCCAAAGAAAATTACTGAATAGTTATTGTTTATAGTATTATTAGCCAAAATTTAGTAATAATGCATTTTTTTTTTATATTATACTATTGAATATTTCTGTTGTCAACAACTATATTTTTTTGGTATGTTTTCCTTATAAATAGAGGGCGTTTAAAAAATTGTTGAAAGTAACAAATAGATTAATATAATTTAATATAACTAGATATAATCTGATACTTTTTAATATTTATTTTTCAATGCTAGTGTAATAGAATCTGAGTATACAAGGAAATTGACACAAAAATTAAATAAATATTCTTATCATAGCAAGATGAATAAGTTTTCAACTTCATAATTAAACTAAAAATAAAAAATGAATGGCATTTATTTATGTATTTTGCGCATCTTTACAAATTATAAATCATGATGTTTTTCATAAGATGGTAACATGAAAAAAAATTTAATCGTAAGCTCTTGATCAATTCAATAATATATACATATAAATAACTTAGCTCGAGATCTAATGGTTCATTTGATTTGAAAAATGAATTAAAAAGACGTATTTTTATATAATGGTTTTTTTTAATACGTTTATTTTTAAAAGGACTAATTCAAACAATTTTTTTTAATAATGGCAACAGTAAATATACAAAACACAGCGTTTCTAACCGTATACATTAAGGTGTGTTGCAGTATTTGAATTAAAAGTATGAAAACCTGTTTTAATACATTTACATTATTCATATAATTTCCAGACTGAAGTAGTTAGAAAATAAACCTTACCTTAAAATGTAATAGATCTAAAATAGTTTATTACATTACTTATTTTTTATTGTTAATAGACCGAAAATACAAAAAAAAAGTAAATATTAACTAACGAAAATGATAAACAATATGGAATTCCTTTTCTTTATCAGCAAATATTGTTTTTAGCAAGTATTGCCAAATAATAGAAAGAAAAAAGACATGTTCATTAAAAAAATAATATTCGCCCTTATAAAAATCAAGCCCAATAAAATCAGCAAATTTTTTTACACAATATTTATAGAGCAACGCAATTAATATTAATAATTGCATATTAGTAATATCAAAAATACAATAATAAAAAAATGCTAATTAGTTAAATATAGAACTTGATAATAAAGAAAAACTGATTTTTTTTTTTTTTAGAAAAATTTTATTAAATTTTTATAGTAAAAACAGTTTGTAAAACATACTTGTAAGAATGCTTTCGCTTAATTTTTAACTCTTAGGGTTTATACTTAGTGCGTTATTTGTTTTAAATTAAAAATTATTTTTTAAATTCTCAGCCCATACAAAAAAGGATTTTATCAAAAATTGAGAAATTTCTATCTAAATTTAAATAGAAAATTTAATTATTTTTCTTTTAATATTTCCATGGCTTAATAATGAGTACTTAATAGTGATTTCAATTAAAGTGACTAAAGTCTTATTTGTTATTAATGATAATGCTAAAAATATTTCTAGAATAATGTTAATTTATTAAATCTAAATATGACTACAGCATAAAATTGATAAATGTGTACATATATTATATATTTATAATAGGTCTTATGAATAAATCACAATGGTTATTTACAAAAGTTTACTTTAATTTTTAATTGATAGAAAAATTTTTTTTTAAGTGTCTATCTTTAACATTATAGTAAAATTTTATTATTATAATACTACAATTGTTGTTTAAATAATGTTCAAATTTAAGCACACTTATAATGTAATAAAATTTCATATTAAAACAACATTAAATAATGTTTAAACACGGTAATGAATTGACATATAATTGATAATTATTTAAACACATGATAAATGCACATAGGTACAGTAAACGTAGCAATTCAGTCTTTATTCTTAATAAAAAAAGTTAACTCCGAAGAATGGAATAATATTATGCAAAAATAAAACTAGCTAAATTTCGTGATGTTGTTGCTATTAGCGCTGAAGTAATGACACAAAGTAGGTATAAGATATTAATACAGTGTAAAACATGGAAAGATATTATATAAAAATAAAATATAGTATTGAGTCAAAAAAAAATTTTAAAAATCATATTATTTACATTATTCAACGTTTCGCCAAATGGTATACAAGTATAATGGTTAAATATTATATTTTTAAAAGTTGAAATAAACGTTTTTTTAGTTTTTTCGAAGCGCACCAAGTTCGGCTGCTAACGACGTCTCGTCTGAAACATAACTCCTTTTCTTGTTACGTTTAGTTTCATGATGTAACTGAAACCAAAAATAACTAATTAAACTCAGACTATATTTCACTAAAAATAATACAATATTAACTGGCTATTAATAAAATTGATTTATTTGATTTTTTTTTTACGATTAATTTACATAGATTTTAAAACTGTATATTCATCTTATTTTTTTTCTTCAAATAATTTAAAGTGGTAGACTAATTTTGACAAAAACAATTACGTAATGAATCTCTAAAAAATCTACAACTAATTTTATACAATTACACAGATTTTTATTGCATTATATTAGATATTTTTAAATATATTATTTTGTTTGTGTTATTTTTTATGAATAAATACAATAAAACAAAATAGAAGTTTTGATTTTTTTATAGCAATGTTTGTTGGATTAAGGTGAACATGTAAAAAAACAACTACCAATTTGATGTAAGATTTAAGATAAAAAAAAAAAAACTGAAGTCAGGCTTACAGGTTTTACATTCAGAAAGTTTTTAAATTTGGTTAGTTTAATATATGTAATCTATAATATGAATTTTATTGAACCAAATAAGCGATACTATTTTGGGTTAGCTAAGGTCTGGACGTTCATGACGTCAGTCAGTTCACCAAATGGAAATTAGAAGCTGATTCATGCGCAGTGAGTTTGATATGAGTGTTGTAAAGCTAGGGGAGGATCTTATGGGGTGGTTTCATTCAAGATAGAGCAATCCTTTTTCAGTATTGACGTCATATGTACGGCGGCAACCTCCATTCAAGAAATTGCTCACTAGCGACAAGTCTTATCGATTATATTTGTTTGGTTGACGTCATAAAAATTAAACATAAAAATTATTCTTCTGATGTTTAATATTGTTTTTAATTCAATTTCTATATGATTTGTAACAAAATTAAAAACATATTAAGTAACAAACTACTCAATTAAATACTTGCAAAATTATCCTAAATATACCATAAACTGAAAATAACAAATATAATAAAATAGTAGGACCGATTTTAATTAAATGTTATAAAAATAACCTTTTTATAAATAAAAAATTTGAAAAAAAAATTCAAAATATCAAATATATTAATTATTATTTGTTTTTAATTTTATTAGTAAATAAATAAGTTAAATCTTATTGATTTATATATACTTATTATTAACATAATTTTTGTTTTAGATGAATCACCACGTATTATAAACTTATAAATACATAAATTTCATATTATTGCATCTAATGTAATAAAATAGTAGTAATGTTTATATGCGTTTCACACTACAAAATATTGAGTACAATACAAGATTTGAATTAAAATGACTCCTCTAATTTATATTCACCATCAGGAGGACTATTTTCATCCACTAAATTATCGATGTACGTGTTTTGGTTACAAAGTGAAACATCTAAAATTTAATAATTTTGCTAGGCAAATTAAATTGTTTGGAATAGTACCAATTACTGTTTTAAAACATTTAAATAATAGGTTATACATAAAAGAAAATGTTTTAAATTGACTTTCTTATTGTGTGATGGATATTGAAACTTTATCATGGCTATTCTTTTCTCTTTTTATATGCTTTTATCAGATATTGATTTTGTTTTTACGAGTATTGTTTATTCTCGTCTAAGGTAAACATTTGAATTCACATAATATAACTTTGTACAGAATAATATTTGTCAACATCATTGCTTTTAGTAAATATCTATAATGAAAAACAAAAATCATAAAGAGTTTTTTAGAAGTTTTTTTGTCTCAACAACCAAGAGCATTTACACAGTCTATTCCTTAAAAAATTATAGGGTTATAGAAAATATTTCATAAAACTAAAGTGTTTGTAAGAAATTTGAAATTTAGCTAAGTATCTAAATTTAAAATTTGCATCGCCTTAAGACATTAAAAAGAAATAAATATCCGCTATAAAGTAAAGGAAAAAGAAATTATTTTACAAACAAAGTTTATGACAAATAAATAGAAAAATACGCACGAACAATAAAAAGAAAGAAATAATGAAAATATTAATTTAAAAACATGGTTCAACAGATGCATTCAAAAACAGTTTTTAGGTTTCCTAAAGAAGTTATTGACGCATATTACGTAATTTTTAAGAAGTCTACGCTTGCGCAATATTTATGAATAAAACCATTTATCAAAATCGAAGATTGTAAAAATAATATTGATAAAATATATGCGAATCACTTAACAAAAAATGACATAAGACCAAAATATTAAACTAAAGGAGAACAGTGCGAACTGTTTTTAAAGCTACGAATGACATGTTGCGCTGAAAAGATGACTAAAATCAGGGCCGCGTCTAGTGGAGGTATTGGTGCACGTTGCCAAGCAGCACTAAAATATAAAGCAATATATAAGGTGTTCAGTAATTAAAGAAACGGATGTCTATTGCACTCTTTGTTTTTAACAATTGACGTGTCTGTTTCCTTACTTATTGAGCACCTTGTAAATTATAGAGTTGAAGATCTTTTTTTTCCTTTGTTCATTCAAACAAAAAAAATTGAGAACAATTTTTTGATGAATAAAATAAAAAGGTAAACAGCGGCAGACTTAAATATCAGAGCAGCACAACTCATATATGTAATCTTGACAAAAGAGAATTATTCGAAGAGCTACGTTGAATTTGTATGAAAAATACTCAATTTTTATTAAATATGCGCGTGTAAACTTTGGAAAATTATCAGTTTTACATGATACAGAGGGTGGTTCCCCTCTTTCACATGTTAGGGAGTCATAAATGATTTTTGGTTAAACCAATGATAGACGAAACAGAATGGCTTACATTAGAGACCAGACATCACCAATGAAAAAATCATAAGAAACATCTCGTTGGCGCCCCAAGGATCGAACTCTCCCCCTCCCCCTTGCGCTAAATCATACGTTTCTGCCCCTAGGCCAGGCTGACCTCTAAAATTTGGATTTTCATATTTTCTTAAATACATGATTTCCCACAGTATATAAATACATGACTCTCCTACAATGGGTTTGCAACTAGTTTGTGCGCAAAACATCAGATATATGTTTCTAATTGTATAAACAGTCATTCAAAATTTATCAAACATTTCTGAAACTGTCATAATTTTAAAAACACTTTTAAAAATTGTGAGTCTGTTTATAAAAAAAATATATTGCATTTAAAAATATTCTTTTTAATCTTATGAGTTATGTCGTTTACAGATAGCTTGTCAATTGAATAATTTTACTTGTGCTCCTTTTTCTTTTATGAATACTTGAAATACGTCCTTGATTATATATTTTTCGAAATTCAATTTGTTACATTATAATTTCTTTTTTTCATACCCAAAAATCTATACATTATAAAAGAGTAGTAAGTCACTACAGGTGACATCTTTACGGATACAGATTTGCAACTATATATTTAGGAATAATTCAAATATATAAACCTTCTACTAAGTAAGCATTACGTAAACAGCAGCTCCATGCGCGCTACATAAACCCATAAAAAAGTAATTTTTATCATCATACTCATTATGCTATTATTTAGTAAGTACATTTACTGACTCATTAAAAATCTTAGCAAACATTAAAAAAAATACTTAAATAACTTATAGTAGTTATGATATATTAATTATCTAGAAAAACACTTTTTTTACTTACTTTCATTTGAGGTAAACCCCGTACACCACCTTCTGCTATTACTTCTAATAAACTCTCCAAACTTGATTTTTCCCCAGCTGGTCTAGGTAGCACATACTCTCTTTGGCCACCGTTAGCCATGGGTCCAGTATTTGTCGGTACGGTTGATTTTATTGTGGGTACAGTAGACGCAGGAGTAACGGTTGATGATTTGAGTTGTTCTAATTCGTGAACATCATCACTTTCTACGGTAGTTTCTCCAGGTGACAATCTTTTTATTAAAGGAGACCCATTAGCCCATTGATTATATTGGCTAATTCGGGAATTTGAATTATAATGACCTGTAATGTCATTGTCTTCATTCAAGTGCTTCTGTTGTTGTCTAAACTGATGTTTAGTATCATACACTACTTGCTTCATGAGTTGCTGCCTGTGTTTAGAGAAAGAATCCCTTTCTGTCGGATCTAGTAATTTTCCCTGAATGAGTGATTCCCAAAAATCGTGTAATTGTTGTTCTTTTGATGATTTAAATGCATTGGACGGTGACACTGGATTGGACAAAAAAAGTTTTCGGAACTTGTGCATTTTATCTGCAGTGCTATAACGTGGAGTCAGTGGTGTATTATAATACCGTTGTTGTTGCAAATATCGGTTTTCTAACGACATAGGTCGTTCATCATTATAATATGAAACATATACAGCTGGATTATTACGGTTGTTCATGTCTACTTCGTTTAACACTAGCCGAACTTTGTTGTCCAATCCGAATTGATCTTCATCATCTTTATCGTTTTCGTCTATAAAATTTTCCTCTTCGTCCTCATTAGCTCTACGATTAGCATCGGCCTTTGCTGACGGATAATAACCGTAATTCGGATATCGAACAACTGCGTAGTCGGATAATTCATTAGTAGTATATGGTTGTCTAATTGATTCGTACGGTGTTCTAGGACCATAAACTCTAGGCTCATATGCAGAATGATCTATATCTATTCCGGTAATTGCAGCCAATGCAGAATTATAATACTCCGATGGAATTAAAGTTGCTAATTGTTTTTCTTGTTCTTGCCTATTGTTCATGTCCGTTATTGCTTGATATTTGTTTAATGACATTGGATAGTGTCTCATCATATTAGATGGACTACTAATACTATTGCTTCCAATACTTTTATCACTGTATAACCAGCTATTAACACCAGCTCTGTTTGCAGCCCATGTATTATACTTGTATTTTTGTGATAAAGTGTCCTTTCCATAACGGCCATCGCCCAATGCAATTGCTGACAAACAAGAGATAATCAACAACTTTATTGAGCTAAACATCTATTAAAAAAAAAAAAAATAACATTATTGCAAAATGTGTTTTTTTTTATTCTATCTTTATTTTTTTGTTTAAATATAAGAAGATACTTATTATAGACAAATTTATACTTTAATTAATGTTTATTATTATTTATTGTTTTAAAATGAATAAAGATATTTTTGAACTAAATATTCTCAAGGTTTTTATTTTACATATTAAATAAAAAAGCATTTGTTCAAAAATCTTTAGAACTAAAGTCCTTGTATATATATATCAATGCAATGAGTTATTTTTTCTATAATTACAAAAGAAATAAAATAATGTTTATTATAATAATACTTGAGTATAAATATATCGCAAAATTTAAGCTATGGATATCTTAAAAAAAAAATAAATTCAAAATTTCAAATTGTTTAGTTTATCATGAAAACAACGACGTTAAAAAAAAGATTTTCATCTAAGAAATATAATTTAAAAAGAATAGTTCTAAATATTCACTTATAAAATTAGTGATGTGACAATATACAATATTTTAATCTTAGTTTAAATTGCTTATTATCCATACATTACTAATAAAAAGTATATTCTATAAATTTAACTTTTTGATACAACATAATATTAAAAAGTTACGATAAAATAACATAGTAGTTTAAACTATAAATATTTGTAAGAATTTAGAAGTAATAAATAAATTTATTCATTGTGAAAATTTAATTTCAACTATAAAAACTATTCCGCTTTAAGATTGATAGTTAAAATAATTGAATAAAACGTGTAGATATTTTAGGATATTTGGTACAAACAGATTTACCTTTTTTAAAGTATTTTATATATAAACGTTATCACTGCGAGCGCGAAAAAGGTTTATGTCAATAACTCACGAAGGATGTTGAGCTTCCAACGTCCGTCCCGAAACTGTTGTTATTCCTCCCAACCCCCAAGTTTTTATAAGGTTTATGGAGCGCCCACGCACCGCACTCTGAATGAATTCGCCCGGTCGCTACGCTGACAACTACCACCAACCCCCTGACCGTGTACCACAAACTCTCGCACAAGCGCGTATTCAATGCTATTATTACAGTATACAACTTTCGCTCCAACAGGTGCCGATGTCACACGAATTTTTAAAATCATAGATTATAAAATGTAAAGAATTAAACATTATTTTGTAATAAATAATAGGAATATTTTGTCTTAAATAAATTAATGAGATAACCATGTACCTAAATTTTGAAAAAAACAAGGTGTAAACTTCATAATTTTCTATTATTGTGACTTGTTAATAGGATTAGAGCTATAAACTTAATTCTTAGAGCTACCATCTGTTTAATGTAGTTTTTATACGTTACTGTAAAAAGATAACAATTTCTAAAATTCATTTTAATAAAAATGTATGAAAAAACATTCAAACGCGGATAGAGAATAATTGAAGTAAATTCAGTTAAATAATTGGTGTACTTATTCAATTTAATATGCATTTGTTATAAATAATACATGATACTAATATTTCAATTATACAAGCTCTTATTATTTACTTATTAAAAGTATATATATTATATTTTTTCTTTATGTTTTATGATATAGTAAGGGGAGGCAAAATTATACCAAGTATCATACAAAAAATGATTTTTAAAATCGCCAAATGTTGATATTTTTAAAACTTTTTTTACCTAAATTGGCAAAACTATTTGAAAATGGGTTAATCAAAACGAATTTTATATATTAGGTAATTTTATTATTTTATAATATATATTAGGTTATAATAGGTATATATCCTTTTTAAAAATTCGTTTCTATCTACCTACAAAGGGGGATTTAATATAGCAACTTTTGCAAGATAAGTTAACATTTTCAACTTGACTTTTAAAAATATTCCCCTTCCAACTCAGGTTCAATTTAAGTTAATGTTACATAATATAATTTAAAAATAAATTTTGTCCCGTCGTCTTATCGTATATTTGGTATCATTTACCTGTAATAATTTCTGTATTTTATGCTTACTTATCAATAAACAGTTATACTGTAAGAATTAGACAATGATGATTTTCGAGGGTAAAAAATATTATAAAAAGGCAGAGCAAACTCTTATTCTGCCTTATACTTATCGCGCTCTAAATATCGTTACTCGGATATTGTGATCATCATTGTCGAAGTTCTTACGTGATAAAGTTGTGAACTAAATTAATTCGTGTTATTATATTTTTCAATTATTGATTATTATTATTATTATTTAAGATATTATAAGAACTAAAAAAATTTTCAGGTATGATTTTAAAAGTCAATGAGTCTAGATATATGGTATTTCATAACCCTCGAACGACACCCCGAATCAAAAGTAACTCTTACTCTCATTTTTACACTTTCTCAACAATATCCTCAATCTTTTTTTCTTTTTCTTTTTATTAATTTTTGAGTTATGATAGTATCATCGAATAAAACCGGTTTAGTAAAAGATGAAAAAAGTGGGTACAAAACAAAAAAACACATCATACTAAAATCCCCCAACTTTGCATTGGAGATAATTAATGTTGTAATATTAATAAATTTAAAATTAAAATATTTAAATTTTATGAACTTGATAGATTCTAAATAAATTTAGGATTTGTAGATAACAGGCCGAATTTAGTACAAATTCGTTGTTATAGTAATCGGTTAAAGTGTTACAGCCCAAAAAACAGGTAATTGATACTTCATTTAACCTATGATTGATATAAGTTATCTTAATTTTGATTTAAGTTTTGATAAAAAATGCGAGGTTGATAATAACATCAATGTACTACATTTAACTACTGTCAGCTTAATAATTGATCTATCAATAAAAACTATTTTTAATAGCAACTTGCCAATCTTAAAGTATTAAAAAATAATTCTATATTATGTTCCATCCTCCTGTAGAATTCTTAATTTGAGTATCCTTTAAAATTAAATTTTACATACATTAATGAAACGATTGTCAATTATGTGATTTTAATAACTATCATTTCATAAGATATTTAGTATTTGGTGAGTAAATTTTTATTTCTAAGAATATGCAATAAACTTTATATTGGTAATTTATTTAAATATAACATTCTCTAGTGAAGGCGTATTTTCAAATTATTTTATAAGCAAATAAAAATTATATAAACATTAATTTTAACGGGTGAACAAATTTTTATTTTATATTTTAATGTGTAGTTTTATTAAAGTATTGTACTGAAATTTTTGATATGTTATTATCATGAATATAAAAAGTTGTTAGGTTATTTTGGACTTTACTTTAAATACTCCCTATAAGAGGAGACAATAAAATAATCTTTTGAGATATTTTTTAACTCTTTAAAAAAATCTCCAGTTATATGTTATTAAATTTAATTGTATTTTCAACCATACAATGAATTATAATACACTACTCTTTCTATTCAAATCCGTTTTAAGAGAGTATAACTATCATAATCTTGTAACTTTGTTGATCTCTTGTAGTGGGATATTATGTTATTTTGAAATGATTGGATATATTTGTTATTGAAGAATTAAAAATGGCAACACTTATTCTTCTTATATTTTTTTTTATACTTAAGCTTTAATTTAGTTAGATACGTTTTGCAATACTAAAAATGGAAATACCTATAATGTTTTATAAAGTTAAATGAAGCTTTGATGTTTTTGTGCGCTAGTAGTTAATTTCCATTATAAAAATGTTATGAGTTATATTAACTGATTATTAGAATGTGTGTTATTTATTTGTTTTGAAATGTAATCAATTATAGACATTTATTTGAAATTTTATTACTACTTATTTATAGCAATTTATAAATTTATCAAAACAAAAAACTGCAATTATTTCATAGAAATAAATAATTATAATCTTTATACATATCATTTTTCCCATCAGATACATTATTATATAATATTGAAAAATACATTTATGTAAAAAAAAGTAGTAACTTTAGATCGCTTTACTATCTTTTTAGTTGTAGTATCATATCTTTAAAAATTTTAGATATAGATTTAACAAGTAGATTTCATAAAATTTTCTTGAATATAATAATTTTTAAACAGCAAGAATGAGATATAATTCTGTTATTAGAATTTAATATTTATTTTATATATGGATTAATAGTATATATTCCTATCATCCTATAGAACTCGTTAAAATATACAATGAATGAAATATTTATTGATAACTATTGATTTAATTATTTTGATACACACATTGTTTAAGTCAAAATGATTAGTGTAATATCATTAAGATAATAATTTAAGTAAAATGCACAATTTTAATTTTAATTTGATTTTAAAAATAAAAATAATATCCCACAATACTTAGTCTTAAACTGATTTAGTTGTATACTTATAATTAATAATTATCCTTAAGTAGTAAGAACTTAAATTAATATAATTTGAATCATGTTGTTTATTACAACTTTTTATAATTTGAAAAAATATTAGCTATTTGGTAATTATTGCCAAAACACCATAAATAAACTTGATCAAGTGAAATGAATTTTGTTTTAAGCTATAAGATTACATTTCCAAAAAAATGTTAGTAAAATAATTTTTCAAATTCTTTTTGTGAAATACTCTGTCGTATTCAGGTATCAGGGTATGAACTCTAGGTATCGGCGTATGAAGATTATACAGCTATTTCTCAATGGTAGATGTCGCGCATGTATTATTCTCTAAAATGATGGTACACTGTTGGAAATAGCAAATCTGCTGCGGATGTCATCCAAATTTTATAATTTGATTCCAAATTTTTTAATATTACCACAAAAACATGGTGTGTTATATAGTTGTAGAATAACTATGCTCTTATTTTAAGTTACAGTAACTGATAAATAAATGTATTTTACAATCAGTACATTGTTTTATTTCTAATAACAATAAAATTACGTTAAGTAATACCTAATTTAATTTATGGATATAACAGATAATTATATTATTAATCAACCATACGTATAAAATATACGTGTTTACTTCCAATCAGTTCATCAATTGCCCGACTCATATCGATAAACAATTAATAAACGTGATTATAGAATTATTTATGTGTATGAGTGTATAAATTTATAGCATATGAAAATTGATAAGTTTAAACTTAATAATCTGATTCAATTTTATTAATCATAGGTCAGTCGCCAGTTGTTAGTGTGATATTTTGAGTGTAAGAGCTCCTCATTTTAATTATCACTATGCGTATTTTACGCTTTTATTTAATTATTGTAAGTAAAAAATATATTTTACAAAATTTGCATCATTTTTTAAAAGTACGTTTTTTAGGCAGCGATATGTGTTATTCAAACATACAGCAAAACTGCAGCTCGTACTCAAACGTCAAATATTTTAGGATTTTTTCCGAGTGGTATGAAAAGTCATTTTATGGGATTCAAATATTTTCTTGAAACTCTTGTTAATAAAGGACATAACTTAACCCTAATTTCGTTTTATCCTCTGGATGAAGCTAAATATCCATATCGTCATATTGCATTAGACTTGAAAAAATGGAATATTGAGCCTCCAGGTAAATAAATAAATTATAATCATTACAAACCTTAGTACTTATTTTAATCGTAATTTTCATAATATAATTAAAATACAGTTGTGAACGTATATTATTTATAACTTATCATATTGTATTTTATTAATATAGTTTTTTAAAAGCCGGATTAAAAATTTAAGAGCCCCACGGTATTTTTAGCTCTTTTTTACAAAGAATGATCAGTTGAAAACAACTTTAATATAAAAACTTATTGTGTTACAGGCGCTTTAATATATAGAGTGAGTATGTAGCAGAGATCAGTTTAGGCCTTAAAAATACGTCCCTATGCGAACCACCTCATTTAATTAAAGTCCAACCCGAACCGTCTTTTGGATTTTGTTAAATATGGATCGATTGTGGTAACCTAACTTGAACTGATCTCTGGTATGTAGTATAGGAGGGTGTAGTCCTTACTGGTATTCGTATACTCCATCGCGTTCCATACCTATAGAATAATAATAAACCCGTACCTACTTTGCTATTTCCCACTGGGTATTGTTCTATACCCCCTCTATGTACTATAATGCTTATAATTTGATAAGTAATTGTTATCAACCCATCAAAATTTCATATACAAAAAGATCAAAAAATGGATATTAAAAAAATAAAATGCTTTAAATGTAGTCTAAAATTGCAGAAATTAATTTTTAATAAACTCGAAAAAATGATGTATTATGTATAATAATAGAAATCACATAACTCACACTTTATCTCCACTTTATATTTTAAAATAATAATAAGTTCCATAATTTATTTTCTTTATTAAATAACTTTTTATTGAATAAGCTAGTTAAATATGAATGTTGCCATTTAAAAAAAACTAATGTTGACTCAATTATGAGATATAAGGGATAAATTAAAAAAATACTTAATTGTTTAGTTAATAAATCGAAAAATATGTCAAATTAAAAAATTCCAAAAAGAATTTTTTAATGTATATTAGATGTCGTGATTACACGTGTAATGTGAACTACACGAGTACCCGTGTTTTTACCTATGACGAAATTAAAGCTCGCGTAGTAAAAATATCCGTGTATACCAGAGTATTTAAATATCCGTGACCTTAAATACTCCTATATTTAAGTAAAATCTCAATATGACAGTACACATATCATAATGTATAGTGTTCACTATCTCCTAGTATATATCGTAATCACTTTCATGTATAATAATTAAATAACAAAATAATAATATACATGTACCTATATATATATATAAATTAATCAATTAATTCAAAAAATAACAAAAATAATAATAATATCAAATTAATGTACAAGCAGTAGGTGTATATAGTGCGAAAAATTAGCAAATAAATAATATAGTAATCACTCACGATCTAGGAATTTATAACAATTGTTTGTTTTGGTAAAGAAAAATCAGCATGTTTACAGTCTTAGGCGCCAAACAACTTCTCTTGGCCGTCACTATGTTTCCAGCGGTTGAGAAACATCTTTCAGAACTAACTGACGTTGCTGGTATCCCTAAATATTTCATTGCCAGAGCAACAATTAGTGGATATTTTGATGTACGTGTCTTCCACCATTCTAGTGCATCAAAATCAAATTTTAACTGTGGTTCTGCCAAGTAATTTTGATACTGAATGTCAGAATCAGCTATATTACAGTTTACTTCATCACCGAACAGATATTCAAGAGCACCGTGATGTATAGTCACAGGTATTTCAATTTGCACATCGCAATTAAATTCAGCCATTTCTTTTATCAAATTTTTAACCCGTGTTCGAATTTCCTCTCTTGCATCAACTGTTTCATGCTCAAAGTCTTTGAACCTTGGATCGAGGAAAGACGCTATTTGTCTAGCAAATACGACACTAGAAGGAGTCCACAGTAATTTAAAACGGTCTGAAAGTTTTCTTATTACAGTGGTTTTAAAATGTTCAGCTATTTCGTCATCACTTATATTTGCTTTAAATGCTTTTCTATAACCGCGTTTAGAAGCGGCCTCGCTATTGAACTAGAACAATATTTTTCCCCACAAAAACAGTGGTCATAATTTGCAGAGGCTTAAGCAATTTTATTAGTGTTTCTACATTTGTCCATTACTGATACTTCAAATTTGTGTGCCATCGCTGCTGTAGTTAACGAACGATCAGCAAGAACATTTGAAATTGGGCACCTATATTTATAAATTCGATCAAGCATTATAAATATTGAATTCCATCTGGTTTTACTACTTTGAATTAAACTTTCTGTTGGTATACCTAGTTGTTCTTGCTTATCTTTTAAATATTGACTAGCTAAATTTGAATGCTTAAGATGACAAACAATTTTACTACATAATTGAATTAAATTATCTATTTTATCATATTTTAGGGCATTATTGACAGCAAGTTGTAATGTATATGTAGCACATGTTATATCATTCTTTTCTGTAATGTTATCCAGTAAATTAACTGCATTCAACACATTTTTTGCATTGTCGATAAATACTTCTGTAACTTTTTGATCAATTTCCCAATTATTAAAAGTCATTTTTAATTGATCGGATAGATTTGAAGCTGTATGACGATCGTCTAGTTTGAGAGTTGTCAGGGTGTATGATTTTGGGCACCACTGGTCATCGATAAAATGTGCAGTAACTGTTATGTACGATTCTTGAGTTATTGATGACCAACAGTCAAATGTACAGCTTACACTTTTGGCATCTTTTAGTTCTTTTTTTATTAAATCTTCAACCGACGATTTGAATTTAAGTCTCTGCTATTAATAGCACCTTCCTTACAGATAATATAATTTGATTCGACTATGCTCATAAATTGTTTCAACCCGGAACTAGAACAAAAGGATAAGGGCATTTGATTGATGGCGATCATTTTAGCTAACGCCTGATGAATTTTTTCTGTTCTTTCTGAACTACAAATTCGGTTTTTTTCAAAGTTCTTATCACTATAAGTTCTACGTCGTTTACGGGGTTGTGGTTCACGAAATTCTTATGATGAGGATGAACAATCGGTATTTAATAAACTAGTTGATGATGACGATGAATACTTTGTTAAACCAACAACTGTATTACACTCTTCAACTTCATGAAGATTACCATCATTAGGAAATAAATTAAATAAATTTGAAATGAATTAATTTATTTTATTTTATCATTATGTAATTAAAGCTTTTCAAATTTGCAATACCGTCCATTTTTCATTTGAATTATTACAAATGAATTGCATTTATACATACCTTTTATTTTGAGTGTTTTTCCTTATATTGTGTATGAATTTAAAATGTCTGCCGAATGATCCCGTTGATCCACCAGCACAACTAAACACTTTGTTTGAATTATCATCACACAGATCACAAAAAGCTTTATACCTTTGCGTTTGCCGTATTGCCATACCCAACTTTTAGATCAATGACTCATTTTTCAAAGAAAAAATATTTAATATGTATAATACAAATGTCAAGATCTAAACTTCATGTGACACGTAGTAATAGTGAACACAGGAATAATAAGGTCCAATATGAACTATGGAACAATTTTAAAATCACCAAAAATATTTAGATAAAAAGCATACATAAATAGTAAGTTTCATAAATGAAGTGCAATAAAATTGGTGATAAGATAGATTTGCGAATATATATGTTTGAATATTAAAACCAGTTTAAATTAACTGTCTTATGCATTATTATGCTTATAGTTTATAGTGTCTATACCTATATAATATTATACGATAAACAACGAATGTATTTTACTAATTTTTAAGCTTAATTAATAACTATAAATATAACTTATAATATATGATTATTAAGATAATTAACTTGTTGTGCTATTTAATCTTCTAAGGAGTTAGGAAAAGTTAGGAAAAAAATATTTATATTTATAGTATATTTTAATTCTGAATTAATATACAATGTATGCATGGGTATTAAATACACGGACTTTAATATATGTTTTGCCCGTGTACCCGGGCTCCGTGTGCCCGTGTATTCTAATACCCGTTCACAATCGCGACCACTAATGTACATATATTATTTTAAGAGAATAAAATAATTTGCCAATTTTAAAACATTCACTCTGTGTTCAAAAAATGCTATTGTTTAACAGTCCTGTAAATGATCAAAGCAACCCGCTAAATACAATATTTATGTCTCACTCTATAAAAAGTGATCCAAAAATTCTTACATGTCAATATGACATTTTTAATACACGCGTTAATTTTACACACAATAGTATAATTTTAACATCAAGTATCAATAATTCATGCACAAATATTACATTTTTTATTATTAATGAAAATTAAATCGTATTTATTTTCCTTACATTGTATGCGTTTAAAATTTACATAACATGTATGCGAAAATTCGGACATTTATTTAAGTATGCATTTTTTATTCGAAACTACGTGCTATAAAAAAGAATGTTAAAATAAAATAAAATAATTATATTTTGTTTTTAGGTGGAAGTATGTTAAATTTTGCAAAAGTATTAAATTTAATAATGACACCTATCCAAATATGTTGGTTTGGACCTTTTATCACTGAAATTTCTTTGAATGAAACTGTAGTAAAGAATTTTATTGCAAATGATCAAACTTCTTTCGATTTAGTTATTTTTGAAAATTTTTACCATGAAGCATTTGTGGCTCTAGGCCATAAGTACAATGCTCCTGTTGTTCAACTTCTTCCTTTTGCGGCCACTGCGCGAGTATCTCAGTGGCATTCCAATCCTTACAATCCATCATATATAACTGATGTGACCTCTTCATTTCCTTCAAACATGACGTTCGTACAAAGAACTATTAACACAGTATATGTATTTATGTATACCGTGGTTAATAGAATAACATATTTTCCTCGACAAGAAAAAATTATGAACAAGTATATGATATATCCTGGACATGAGAATCGACCTAGTTTAGCCGAGTTATTGCGTAATATATCTTTGACACTTATCAATACTCATCCTGTAATCGGATATCCTTTTCCTATGGTACCAAGTTACATACATGTTGCTGGTATGCACTGCAAACCTCCAAAGGAATTGCCCGAAGTAAGTAAAAAATAATCGTATGTATTTTTTTATATTAACTGATAAATTTAGAAAAAAATTGTAGGATTTAAAAACTATAATGGAAACGGCCGAAAAAGGTGTTGTATATTTTAGCTTAGGTTCCGTAATTCGATCATCAGATATGCCAAAAGATACACAATCAATGTTACTTTCGGAACTATCAAAAATTGAACAAATCGTTTTATGGAAATGGGAAGCTGATGATTTACCTCAGTTGCCAAAAAATGTGATTATACGTAAATGGTTTCCTCAAAATGATATATTAGGTACGTGTATATTTAAATAATTTGTTAGAAGGCTGTCCTAAATTAATCTTCTTCCTAATTACTTCCCTTTTTGTGATACTCTTATATAAACTGACAAATAAGTCGTTAGTTAAAAAATAATAGTTTTAATGTTATTTTTATAGAAAAAATAAAATATATTAAAAAATAATTGAGTTAAAAGTTAAATTAAAAAAATTAAGTAAAATACAAAAAATATGTAGTTAATTATTCGTGGATAATTAATTAAAAATATACATGTTAAAAAAAATTAGTATCAAATTTCTTTTATATTTTCATTTTCTCTTACCATCAAGAAACTATTCCTTAAAAATTAGATTCCTAATTAAAATAAATTAGACTGACCTCTTTTTTTGGTTGTTTTATGTAGGACACCCTAAATGTAAATTATTTATAACTCACGGAGGTGTACACAGCACTATTGAAGCTATTAATTATGCAGTTCCTATGTTGTCTATCCCTATTTTTGGCGATCAAGGGGGAAATTCACTTCGAGCTGAAATTCAAGGAATAGCTTTGCAAGTGCCTTACTCCAGTTTGACACATCAAGCTTTTGGTGATGCTTTACACAAACTTTTAAATAATCCAAGGTATGCGTTATGATTTTATTTAAAAAAATTAATGATAATTTTCTAATGTTTTATTATTTTATTTCAGTTATGCCGAAAATGCCAAAAAAATATCAATAACTTTCAAGGACGAACCTTTGACTCAATTAGAAAAGGCTATTTTTTGGGTAGAGTATGTAATGCGCCATAAAGGTGCAGCACACCTAAGAACTTCAGCAAATGAACTTTATTGGTTTCAATATTTGTTACTTGACATTATTTTCGTGGTTTTGTCTATTCTTATGCTTTTATGTTACACTATTAAAAAAATATTTGTTAAGACTTGTAAAAATTGCTTCAAACGAAAAACAACCATCAATAAAAAAAAGCAATAGGATCAATAACTTCATTTTTTTCATTTAATAAATTGATGTAATGATGCTTTTTTTATATAACTGTCATTGAGTTTTAAATATATTTTAAAAAATTTTGTTTGGCTCATCTTAAAGTAGCTAATAAATTGCTATATTACCAATATTTTACTTATGATCGCTGAAGTATTTAGAAGAAAGAGGCAAATATGATGAATCATTACTAATGATTGTCCCTGACGTAATTTAAGTATAAATGATATTTATTTTTATTTATGACATTCTAATTTTGAACAAATAATAATAACAAATAAAAAACTAATAACTTAAACCTCTTAATCAAAAAGCACTCTCAGCTAAGGAAATAATTTGTCACATTTATTGCAAATTCATAAATAAATCTTTATTTTTATTAAAAATTCATTTTTCAGAAAAATATTTTATTTTAATTTTTAACCTGAGAGAATTATGTGAGAGTAACATTTTTTCTGATAAGTTTCCCTTATAAAAAAAAATAAAAACTAGAAACTTTTTCATCAAAGAGATTTAATTGGTCAATAGTTGATTTATTATTAGCTTTTGAAAGATTGTCAATCGTTTATTAACTATTTAACAAATATATTTTCTAAAAATAACATATTGAAAATAGTTTGGCGCTAATTAAATTTAGATATTGTGAGGCCAAAGCGATGTAACACCTTTTTTATATTTTTATAGTACAAAAAAAACTTTTATTTTGATTTTTATTAAAAATTTGAGGCATTTAATAAACATATTTAGGGAGCACAGATGGATTTAAGTCCAAGGATGGCACATCTTCAAAGATGGCAAAATATTTAAGTGATATTTATTTAAAAATATATTGTACAAAAAAAATTAAGCATTTTATTATTTAGTATTTTAGAAAAATGTTATAAACTATATTTAAGATTGTCTATAATTGACATAAATGTACTAATAATGAAAATTATGTTCAGAAAATATCTATTTTATTTGTTGTTGGTTAACTGATCATTCTAAATAAATGAAAACAATCATAACTGAGCTCTGTATGGAATAATTAAAACCAATTAAAAAAAGGATTCAATGACGAATATAAGTAAATTTTGAAACCCTAATAAATTAAATATTTTCTAAGGGCGTATTTAAAACTCATTTTATTAAATATACTTTTTTATGAATACTAAGTAAAAATTTCTTTCATTCAACGAAAATTTTTATAAATCTGATCATTTTCCTTTATACAGGGGGGGGGGGTAAAATCTAAATTTAAAAATATTCGAGTAAACAGAAAATTTTTTTTTAACTTAACTTTTGTAAATGTTCTTGAAATAATGCGTTTTTTAAATATATGTTAAATTAAAGCTTATGTTAGGTATTGTAAGTTAAATAAAACAGCCCCGACTTCTTGTCTTCTTTGTGCAAATAGTGTCGAAATTAAATTAATGTTATTAATTAAATGTAATTTTCATGTAAAAAATCACTTTCTTTCGTAAAGTTTTTTTGGTATTTAAAATGGCCATAAATTGTTGAAAAATAAACGAATGAAAATAATTTGTTTTATATAAACACCTTACGTATTTACCTTTCTATTAATATAAATATTTTGAAAATATAACCCTTTACTTATCTACAGACGAATTTAAAATTTTTTCACAAAAAGATAACTTTTGAAAAATTTTAGGAAATACTGTGTTATCTAAATATATACTAAATTAAAGCTTATATGTTACGTACTTTATGTTAAATAAGAAAAATTTGTCCCGACGACTTATTTTCTATGTCCAAATGGCTGTTTTTTTTAGATAAAAAATTATGCTATTTTTGACTTTCAAAATTCATGAAAAAAAAAGTGAGGGTTCCCCCTGTAAAATAATTCTATATGAAATTATCTTTTTGCACATTATTTTTTTCAATTTTATTTTTACACTGTTATTACTTTTTAATAAATGGACAACTTGGCAATCTTTTTATATTGAAATACCTTACAAAGGTTTGCCATTATAATGAGATCACTGATTTTCATAAAAGTTACATGAATCTTAGTTACATTGGATATAAATTTAAATTTATTTTGAATATTTCACCTCTTCAAAGTTAAGAAAATTGTCTTGGTATTTTTGAATCAGCTAAATTGTCTTTTAACAACTAACATCTATGATTTACGGTTGCCGCGTCAGTAACATTACATTCTTTTACACTTAGGATAAAAGATTCGAACACCGCCCGTCATAATGACTTCTTTTGTATTTATTCTTAATTCTTTTTGATTTGGAATAAAATTCAAAATTTGTTTGATTTTTATTATATTTAGATTGAATAACTTTAATGAATATCAAGGACCTCATCACTGTTATCTCCCCTCATTAAAAGGAATTTCTTATTTATGTTACTATGTGTTTTTTTGTGTCTATTATTCAACAAAATTTTTCAACCATATGTCAAATGAACACAACTAGTAGTATTTAGTTACAGATTTTACTCACAAAAATTTAAAAACATTTCCCCTTATCAAATAACAAGTTACTTAACTAACTTTCTCCATATAAATAATTTTAGTCATTAATTTCTAATGTATTTAAGGTATATATTGTCGAATTAGGTTTGATATGATAATTTGTTTCAACTACAAAGCTGAATAATCTTACTTTTTATTTTTAATTTATTATGTATGTATTTATACAATTTTAAATTTAAAAGCTAATAAGATTTATAATTATCGTATTTAAGGTCAAAAATGAGAGAGTTATGAAAATAAAAAGTCAAATATCATACAGTTTAAACAATACTAATTTACTAGTTAAATTAATTTATAATGAATTATGTGATAACAAATATTTACTCTCATGTGAAATAATTGTAGCCGTTTTGGCAGATCTTGAATATTTTGACTGGTATATTACTAAGGGTATATGAGTATGAGTATGTATCATGGGTAATATGAGTTCATTCATATTTATATTTTTTTCATCTAATCTTTTAGCTAGAGAAAGATTCTAAAATTTTGTAACCAAAACTATTTTAAACGAAATGGGTACTTATGAATTAACAGGTATTAAGTAATATTTTTATAATATTAAAGAGAGAAGTTTGAAAAAAATTCATTGGCAGACTATTACCTTAAGTTATGATTACATAACAACTTAAAATTACATCAAAACACGCTTAATATGAATTTCTAACTACAATTAAAATTAACGTGCGCGCACACGTGTTAGAACTAGTGAGTAACTTAGCGTACCTTAATAGTTTTTATACTAGTTAGGAGGATGTGCTCCTACATGTCATTGTTTTTGATAAATACTGAATTCATCATTTTACTGTATATATATTTTTCATAATTACGATTTTCCTGGTTATTTGTCATGTAAAAATTTAAAAAAAATTATAATTTGAATTTTACACATAATCAATTTGTAGCAACTTCATAATTATGAGATTAACCCAAAAATAGTTACAGTTGAAAGTTAATTTTTATTTTTTAATGTCCATTAAATTCAAATTTTAAGATCTATAAAAACGGTTAAACTTGACGGATAAGCCCCAAATTTTGCACACCTTTTTTAACATCAGTAAATTATATTAAAAAGGTTGAAAACAAATTATTTTTCAGTTTTTAAAACGTTTTAATAATTAGTTATTATTTCAAAAACTAGATGTGATGAAAAAAATATCAAGCTATCGAAATTTCTCATAGAATTCACCTAAATATTGTAGATAAAAGAAAATTTTCATTATTTGTTTTCTTGTCTTATAGATATTTAATTTGTGTAAAATATCATACATTGTCACACGCCCCTAAAGAATAAATTAAGCCAAAAAAGTTTGGTTTTTTTAAAAATAAATTAAAAACAAAAAATATGGGTCAAAAAATCATCATTCTTTTTCATTATATTTAAATAATTCATGAGCCACACAGCATAATGATAAGAGTAATATATTTTCGATAAGAACACAATTTTTAGAACATTGAATGTTCTGATAAATATTGTTATGAATTTGTTTTTATTTAAAATTGTAAAATATATGCTGTTATCAAAATATAACACATATGACCGAACTCATAAAAGATGAATTTATCTTATTTATTTATAAATCCACCTTGAAATCACCCCTAAATTCAAGTATGATGTATCAGTAAATAGATAAAATCTTATCTATTCTTTATTACTACATCTGCTTAATATATTGCTTATAATAAACTTATGTAATAATATATATTTAAGTATATATACTGTTGAATTAAATTAGAGACGGCTCTTAGTGGGAATGAGGAAAATTATTCTTTGTTTATCATCTCGCCATGGATGACAAGATTCAAATTATAATATGTCTAAGTGTTTTTTAACCATTAAATTTGTTCAATAATAAATAACATTTGTTTTCAAATTTTTAGTTAACATTTTTTTTAAATTATTGTCTAAATTCGTTAATTACTTTATGGTGAAAAATACGAATCAGGAATTAAGATGAATTTGATATATGTAAGTTATTATTTAATGATTGATTTTATTACTTATTATTTCTCTTTAATTTTAGTGTTATATTATTTTTGTTGTTGGATATGGACTCAGTTCAGTTAACGTACAAGCATCTAATATTTTAGCCTTTTTACCATCAGAAACTCAAAGTCATTTTTTTGGTTTTACTCCTTTATTAAAAGAATTAGTTAAAAAAGGTCATAATCTAACACTGGTATCACCGTATTCTCTTAATAATGAATTTCGTAATAAGTACAATTATATTCATTTGGAAGATAGCGGATTTACAAAAACAAGTATGTTTTTTTGAGCAAAAATTTTTTTATTCAAATTGTTAATTTAGTAGTATCTATTAACTTATATAATGGTCTAAACTAAATAAGTTAGGTCACAAGTAACAACTTATATCTTAGTATTCAAGTTCTAATAAACTACAGATAGTAATATGCATTGGCGAGTATTAAACTAGTTAAAAAGTTAATTTTTTTCAACTTTTCAACTTAACTAGTTCATTTTTTTCTAATAAAATTTTTAACTTAACTAATTTAATTTTCTATTGAAATAACTTAGCTGTTTTCAGTTAATTAGTTAAAATAACAGTTAAGCTAAATTCAAAGTATCATTAAAATTCTTTATACTCTGCACACATGGTTTAGTTTTAAAAAAATCAAATTTTTCCCTATCCCAAATATTATATTTATATTTTTTTATTTTTTCAAAAATGTATGTGATTTTTAACTGATTTTTTTTAATAACTAGTTTTAAAGATAAAACAGTGCATCAAACACCAAAATATATAAAACGAATAAAAAAAATGTTTGTCATTATAAATTTTTTCTTTCTATTCAATTGAAAATTGATTCTTCGCTTTTCCTTGCATTACCAACTCATAAAAAATATTTTAAAAGTTTTTAACCGAAGAATTAATTTAAATGAAATAAACTTTTTTTAAACTAATTAACTTTAAAAAAAATTTGAACTTATCTTTTAACTTAGCTAGTTAAATTTATAATTTGATAACTTTTAACTGTTAATTTATCGACATTGTTCATACTTAACTTAACTTAAGTTAGTTATTTCGTTTAATTTGCTCATCCTTGGTAAAATGTGTGAAGCAATTGATTTGTAACTTATTACTTGTTATTCATAATGATACATTAACTTAATAGTATTTATTATTGTTGAAGTAAAAACTGAGTTCAATATTTGCCACAGATCAAAAATATTGGATATTAAATTTTTTTGTATAATAGGTTGTTTCTAATCAATTACTTTGAGAAAGCTTCTCTAGGTTGTGCTATAGGCGCAAAGGATTAGAAAATATGTTTTGAAAAAACAATAATTTGTACAGTCATAGAGAATATATAAATATATCAGATTAATTATAATTTTACATAAGTAATTTTTAATTAACATATTTTTGAAAGAGTTAGGAGGTATTTTTTAAAAATATTATATTCTTAATCCTACAATATACTTTGTTACATATTTTGAACAAGTACAAAAATAGATTTAATTAATTACTAGGCATACATTTTATGTATAATGCACTTTATTGGTAATATATATCAAGAAATAAATTGTTAAATGTATGTAACCTTTTTGGAGATTTAAACAATTTTCTGATAACTATTATTTTAGTAAAAAAAATGTTACATTAAAGGGTTAATTAATATTTTTTGTATTTTATTATAAAATCCTAGTAAAATATGCAAACATCACTCTTAAATGAAAATATTCTCATCCTTTCTCTTTGTGTTAGATTAATTTCTATAACTTTTTTATCATAATATCCAGTGATATTGATTAAAATTGTATTGGTTAATCTAGAACTTTAATAAGACCACAATATGTACATACTTTCTAAACTGTAAAATGTACAACATTTTGTTTTTTTAGTTAATCACATGGATAAATCTTCTTTTGTAATGAAAATTATAAACTACATACCGTCAGTTATTTTTATTTTATTTGGTGGTCCTTTCATATCAATTAAAGCTTTGGATAAAGATGCAGTTAAAAATTTTATAGAAAATGATAAATCAAATTTTGATTTAGTAATTTTTGAAAATTTTTTTGCTGAAAGTCATGTTACCCTTGGTCACAAATATAATGCACCAGTTGTACAGTTAGTGTCAGCAAATGTCAACCCTAGAATTTCTCAATGGCATGGGAACCCTTACCATCCAGGTTACATTCCAGAAGTTACTAGTAACTTTCCTACCAATATGACTTTTATTCAAAGAACAATTAATGTTGCATATATGTTATGTAGCACTTGGTTAAATAAGATGATATATATACCACAGCAAAAAAACATGATGAATTCATACTTCAAATATCCTGGATATGAAAATAGACCTGATTTAGGTGATATGCTTGGCAGCATATCTTTGACAGTATATATGAGTCATTCAATAGTCAGCACTGTTACACCTCATGTTCCAAGTTATATCCCAATGGCCGGAACACATATAGCTCCTAACAAAGAACTACCAGAGGTAATTAGCTTATATCTTATGAAATTAATTGTTACTACTACACTAAACAAACACAAATATACTTTATTAAGAATGATTCTTTTAATACTAGTCACTTAAATTACACTTAAAATAATCATTTTTTTGGCATTTGTTAGTTATATATGAATTTCTGTTGTAAAATATTTTATATATTCAACCCTTATATTTTATAAAGATGTCAATTATAATTGCAATTTTTCAAATAACAACATAAATAAATAATTTGCTTATAAAATAGAAAATTATGTAACTAAATAATTAAATGTTTGATAACTACTTTCGTAGCAATACTTTGAATGTTACTAACATTTTTGTATACAGGTAAGAAAAGGAGTGAGGCTATTGTCTAGTGATAACAATAGGAGCACCCATGCTGTACCTTCAGTCAATAATTTAAATTGTGAATAATTTTTAAAATACTTGTTCAGAAGATGTTTTGGACCAGTACTTTTTTAATTTGAACATTTTCTATTTTATATGCTAGTTAAATATGTATGTTGCCATTTTAACAAGTAAAGTTTACACTATAATATATAAGGGATGAACATAAATAATATTCTATATCAGCTAAAAAAGAAACATAAGTAACTAACGAATACCAAAAAAAAATTGTTGTTGTAAGAGAAATTAAGTGATTAATGTTAAAAGAATAACATGTATTTAAAACCTATTTTGATTATTTTTAATGTTATCTTTAAATTGATAGTTATTTTTAAATTTATTATGTAGAATTTGAAAACTATTATGGAAAATGCCAAAGATGGTGTTGTATTCTTTAGTTTGGGCTCTGTTATACAATCTTCAAAAATGTCTAATGAATCAGTTTCAATGTTTCTATCAGTGTTGGGAAAAATTAAACAAACTGTATTGTGGAAATGGGAAGATGACCAATTACCTAATTTACCAAAAAATATTATTGTTCGTAAATGGTTTCCCCAAAATGATATTTTAGGTAAAAAATTTCACTAGTCATATATTTCACACAGTATTGAACTCATTTTTTAAATACATTTTTGTTTTATTTAACTTTAATTTGATATATAGGACATCCAAACTGTAAACTGTTTATTACTCATGGTGGAGTATTAAGTATTATTGAATCATTTCATCATAGTGTTCCTATTTTATGTATGTCTATTTTTGCTGATCAAGATCAAAATTGTATGCAAGCTAGTTTAAAAGGCATGGCACTTCATATTCCATTCTTTGAAGTTACTAGTCAAAGATTGAGCAATTCTCTTCAAAGACTTATTAATGATCCACAGTAAACTATTTTATTTAAATAATATTACTCATAATATACTTAAGTATAATTAATTTTAGTTAAGTAAGTAGCCTACATAGCTCAGTCAGGAAATCGTCGTGCATTGGTAAGTAGATTTCAAATTTTAATTCCGTAGTACTGGGCTATGTAGGATTTCTTATCTTCTCTGGTATAAACAATAGTTTTTAAAAGAGGATGTTAATAAAATAAAATTATAAAATAATAATAAAAAAAAAAAGCATTAATAAAATTAAGGGGATTGATTAACTAGTCTCACCCAATAGCCTTAAAAATACAGTTTGTCTCAAATTCAACTGACAACACTTATAACATTTGATAAAATTACTATTTTGACTTTTTTTTTTTTTTATAATAATTTAAACGTTCTTAGATTATGTTTAAAGCGTCATATTTTTATTAGTTATCACTAATAAGAATAAAAATTAAAATAAAAAATTTTATTTTTCTAAACTTCACAATAACTATTTGTTAGTACTTTTTTTAAGCTTCTATGCAAAGATGAGAAGCTATTAATTTTACCATGATGTGTTTATTTTTTTGTGCCTGTTACTACTTTTTCTCAACTCTCACTGGACTGATTTTTCTCAACAATATGTCAAAAAATCATAAATTGTATCTAATTAAAAACATTATCCTCAAAAATTACAAATTTTAAAATCGGTAAATTTTGTCATTTTTTAAACTTTTTTTTTTTCGAAAATTGCCATAACTTATTTAAAAATGAACGTATCAAAATAACTCTTTTTTAAATTAAAATCATAGGTATTTTTCTTTCATTTGATGTAAATTTTTTGAAAATGTGATCCTTTATCTGCTTACAGGGGGGATTCAAAATAGCAAACTCTGATCAAAAATTTATCTTTTTCAACTTAAGTTTTGAAAATATTCCGGAAATACTCCAAGTTTCAAACATATGTTAAAATAAAGATAATTTTATGTACTATAAGTTCATAAAAATAAAATTGTCCTGACAACATATCTTCTATGTGCAAATGTTTGCCCTAGTTAAAATTTATAATTTCAGATTTTATTTTTTCAACTTTAAATTACTATAACTTTTCGAAAAATGTATGGATCAATACAATTATTTTTTCATAAATACTTTATGTTCTTTCTTTTGTTTGATATATATTTTTTGAAAATCTGACTTTTGACCTGACCACAGGGAGGATTCAAAATAACATTTTTTATACACAAATTACACTTTTTCAACTCAATTTTTGAAAATTTTCCGGAAATATGACACTTTTATTTAATCTTAAATTAAAGCTTATGTAATTACTATACTATGAAAAAAAAAAAAATGTCCAGATATCATGAAAACTGTTATCCTATTCAAAAATATGCTATTTTTTTGTTAAAATTCTTGGTGTTGTATTTTAATTTATTTTAATATACCTTATAATGGGGTACACTGATTTTCATAAATATTATATAAAACTAATTGATATAGAATATAAAATTAAACTTATTTAATTTTTTTCTTTTTTTGAGTCGAAAAAATTAATTTTAGCATTTGAATCAGCTTAAATTGCCAATTTTATCAAAAATAAATGCTACAAACGTTTGACGATTCAGTAAAAAACATTGCCTATGACAATGATTTTTTTGCAATTTTTCCTTAAGTCTTTTTGAGTTAGAGTTCTGCTTTTGAATAATTCACCAATTTCTTAAAATTAAACACTATCTACAGATTTGCATCAAAGCGTTTCTAATGATAGTGAATTTAATCACTGCTTGATATCATCTATACTATTCCCAAGTATGCCACGCTCACACTATGCTGTGACCCCATAGTGCTATGGTTTTTTTATTAAAAATACTATTTATATACCTCTTTCATTTGACATAATGATACCAAAATAATTTTGATATCATCAAATAATAATTTATAATTAGAAAGCACAAATTGTCACTGTTAAAGTAAGGATAAATAAAAATAACAAATTGAACACATGAATTACAAAAAATATCTTTATTATATTTGCTATATTATATTCACATTTAAAAACAGCACGAAATGTTGATTTAACAAAGTATATTTTATACTTTTTATGTAAATTTTTAGGTTTATAGCATTTGAACTTTCAGAATTCGCACTCAACTTTATAACGATAAACTACTAAATATACATAAAACTGTATTATTTTGTGCGATGGATCATTGATATAGCTCCAACTTAAATAAATATTAAAACGATTACCGTACTGTAATTTTTGTTGCCTATAGATTTGCCTATTTTGTTAATTTTTTTACTTCTCAAACAATAAAGGAATATAATAAATAACATAAAAAAAAATAATCATATCCATTAACTCATTAGTCACAATAAATAAAAAGTATAAAAACATTAAAATTATTTTTATATCATCAAATAATAATTGATAACTAGAAAGCACAGATTGTCATTGTTAATGTAAGGATAAATAAAAATAACAAATTGAACACATGAATTACAAAAAATATCTTTATTATATTTGTTAAAATTCTATTAGGATTTTACAATAAAAATATACAATATATATAAATGTTTAGTTCAAATAAAAACATTAATACTTTTAACATAAAGTATACAACTAAAAAAAATGTTTAACTAATTTAATTGATATAATGTTAAAAAAATATTGAAATAATTGTAAATTATATATTCAAAAATAATTTTTTATAAATTAACGAAAAAATCTGCAAATTAGCTCACTAAATGAGCAAAAAAAAAACAAAAATTGAAAAGTAAAAAATAAAAAAAAGATCAAAGTACAAAACACATAAAACGTATTAAAAAGTTATTAATTCACTTAATACAAAATCAAATTATGATGTATATAATTTTCTCTTAACAAAATGAAGACATCCGACAGTATGTACGATAATAGATTGCACTGCAATAATAAATTATAATGTGTACAGTGACTGCGGCAAGCATAAAAGTTATAAGGTAATTTACAGACATATGTCAAAATATAAATGAAGTCACAATCGGTATAAAAGTCACTATTGGTGTTGAGATTAAAATTGTAATAGCATATCATAAGTCTTAAGTATAAAGAAAACATCTATGGTCGAAGAAAGTCCAATAGAATTGGTTTGACCTCATATAAAAGACATAAGTTATTAAGTTCAACTATTTCATGATAAGATTTTTGTTCTATGAGATGTTGTATTGGAAGCAGTGAAATTAAGGCTTTGTCAGAATGTGTGTAATCATCAGAGGTGGGCAAAATATTGTCTAAGACTTTGTATAAAATATCAAGCCACCTAATGTTTCTCTGGAGACCAAAAAATGCAAAAGCGTGTCCGCAGTTACAATCAGGTTTCAAGATTGCATACGACTCAAACATACCAGACATTGCAAAAAGACATCCGATGGCTATTTGAGTGTGCAGTGGATATCCAATTAGTAGCATATCGTTCGTAGTGTGCTTCAATGAATCTAAAATAGCATGCAAACAATTGTATTGTAACTTGACATTGTTTATACGATTTTCCAAATAAATATCTGTCAAATCACAAACTGTTATATCTGATCTACAGTTCTTCAGTTGAGATTTAAAATACGAGGATCGAGTTTTTTTATCACTAGTTCTTTCAACGTAAGGAAATTTATCTATTATCTTATTTCTACAATCAAGTAAAGATCCATCGCAAAATTTTGATCCTCGTACTTTCGTTACCGGCTTTCCCATACAAAATTTTACCTGTGACACATCGATGTTAGATTTTTTACATCGTACAGATACATTTTTATTCCATATATTATTTTCTAAATTGCAAAATTTTGTCATGTCCTTGTACAATATTTCAGCTTCTTCTCGAAGGCTTAAGTCACGACGGCTCATCTTTTCCGCGTACGAGACGTCAAATGTCTTCTTTTTATAATTTTTGGATACGTTCTTTGACATAAGAGTTTGGTCTTCACGAATCGGTTTTAAATTGTACCTTTTGATAAACTCTTTGCATACATAACTTTGAATATCCTTCATTTCATTATAATACTCGGCCTTTAGAAACCACGACCTAATGTTTCTCTCGATAGTTCTTATTTGTAAGTTGGAAAAATAACTTGAACACTTGAATATTT